TTTTCATGCCAGCTTCAATGTAAGTTAGAAGACCTAAAATTACTGATGGAACAAATTCAGAATTATTACAGCATTCATTTTGATCCTTATCAGATTGGGCAGATAGCTTGTGTTGCTAAGTATTCCAAAGATAGGAAGTGGTATAGAGCTGCTGTTTTGACTCGAGTATCAAATAAAGAAGTTGATGTAGTATTTGTTGATTATGGTTACCAGGAAAGAGTTTTAATTAAAGATCTTTGTGCGATTAATCCATATTTTCTTTCTTTAGAAGGCCAAGCTTTCAGATGTAGACTTAACCATTTAATTGAACCCATTAGTTGTAAATTATTAAGTTGGACAAGAGAAGCATGCAGAGACTTTGGGAATTTTATTTCTTCATCCAGAGGGTTATTGACTTGTGTCATCTGTGCCTTAGTTCTTATACATCCAAACCATTTATGTAACTTGGTAGATTTACAATCTCCATTTACAAGTGCAAAAGAATTTCTTATTAATCATGGCTCTGCACAGTATATTACATTATCAAAGCCACTCCCATCTTCAGTTAGTCTTTACAGCTACTGTTATTCCTCCTTTAATATAAAAATTGGAAGTGAGGAAGAAATATATATATCTCATATATACAGCCCCAAAAAGTTTTATTGCCAATTTAGTAGAAATAATAAAGACCTAAAGATTATAGAAACAAAAATCACAGAGATTAATAACCTCAAAAATTATCCAGAATATTCTAGCAAAAAGAGATTGTGCATATGTAAATATATAGAGGATGGTCTCTCTTATAGAGCTTTAGCAATGCCAAAGTCAGATTCATTATCTGACTTTCTGGTCTATTTTGTGGACTTTGGAAATAAGCAATTAGTAGAAAAAAGTATGTTGAGGGTTATTTCAGATCAGTTTCCAGAGTTGCTGTTTACACCTATGCAAGCTGTTAAGTGCTTTTTGTCAGATCTTAGAGATGTAGATATTCCAGTAGAAATCAATAAGTGGTTTGAAGATAGTTTCTTGGGAAGACCATTAAGGGCAGTAATATTGTCCAAGGAGTCAGATGGCCAGCTTGGTGTAGAATTGTATGATGGATATCAGCATATAAGTCAGAAAATTAAAATGTTGCTTCATGCTTATGGAAAAAAACATTGTGACCCAGCACACTGTGTGGAAAAAGGCCTTAAAATAAATGAAAATAAAAGACTTGCTGTTTCTTTGAAAGGCAAGAGAGAAAACTATCACCATGATATGACAAATAAAACTAGCCTAGTAACATATCCTGAAAAGGAAATACATCAGTTAATGAATTCCAAAGGTATATATGCTCGGGGTTTGAAACCATCAGCTCGTTATAAAATTGAACCTGTGTTAAAAAACAAAGTAAAGAAGTCTTTGAATGATGGACTTAAAAATAAAGGTGTAGACGTTGTCCCTGGATTTGCACCTACTCTTGATGAAAGTGATGTGGGCAAGAAATCAGTAAGGGTTGTGTCGCAGTCTTTTATCAGAGAATTACATCAAGTAGCCTCACAAAACTCATATAATCTTACAAGACCACAAATCAAAGACCTTCCTGAACCCAAAATTTGCTTGAATGCTAAAGTTAAAGGATATATTTCTAATATCAGTAACCCAGCAAGTTTCCATATTCATCTTGAGGAGAATGAAAATGTAATCATCAGACTTGCTAATGCTCTAAATGAAAGAAGAGCAGATATAGTGAGCAAGAGAAAATCAGTTAAACCTATCGTGGGAGATCTTGTAATTGCAGAATACTCTACTGAAAATGCCATTTACCGAGCTGTTATTAAGAACAGTTTTCCAGGAAATTTTTTTGAAGTGGAATTTATTGACTATGGTAACACTGAAATAGTAAACATATCTAAAATTTATGAATTTACGAGAGAATTCTTAACTATTCCTCAGCTAGGACTCCATTCTTTTCTCAGTGGAGTAAAGTGGAATGAGCCTGGTGAAATATGGGACAGTAAAACTATAGATTATTTTGCTTCACGAGTAAGTAACAAAACAGTTTCTTGTGAGTTTTTGAAAAAGCATGACCAGAAATGGGAAGTAAACATAATTTGTGATGAAAAATGTGTCATTAATGAACTTCTGAAATGGACAGCATGTCCAAAACTACAGAAAACAGTTTTTCAAAGGCCTCGAGTTGTTTCTCAGAAGGTGAGCCCTGATGATAGTGAAATGAAGAAAGTGAGCTCAAATGAATATGAAAGTTCTGTGATCCTTCAACCATCCTACCGACAGCTGGTTAATATTCCTTTTGAACAGTTAAAACCTGGACAACTCGAAAAGGCTGAAATTCTTTATGTTTCAAAAAGTGGGACATTTTATGTGAAGTTAGCTAAAAATAAAAAAATATTATCAGATTTAACAGTACTAATTACTAAAGAAGTAAAACAACCTTTTTCACCAATGGAAAATATTGAAAAAGGCTTAGAATGCTTGGCAAAATCTAAAAATACTTTGAAGTGGTATCGATCAAAAGTAGAAAAAAAGTGTGCTGATGAGACAATGCTTGTTTTTTTAGTTGATTGTGGTAGGTATGACACAGTGCCTTTAGGTAATATCAGGGTACTTAATGATGAAATCAGAAATATTCCAAGACAAGCTGTGCCTTGTAAATGGGTTTGGTTTGAAAATTTTAGAAACATGCCATTCGAGTCCATTGTACATTTATTTGCTCGTTCGGAAATAGATGTCCTTTTCCTAAAATGTTTAAATTTTTCCTGGGAAGTAGAAATTTTGGTAGATGGCCTGTTACTTTTGGAATATTTAAATTTAAATACAGTTCATGTTGAAGAAAACCAACTTATATCTTCAGAAATTATTTCCGGTGTGGCATCCAAGACTCCTTTGTCATCATGTATGATAAGATCTTATACTTGGGCACAACTCCAAAATGGTAGGCGATATTCTGGTATTGCCACTGCTGTTTCTGATCCATCAGACTTCTGCATTCAGTTAGATGATTTCTTTGACACAATGAAATCTGTCTTTATGTTGCTTTCTGATCTACCAGAAACCTTGCAAACTGTGTCTCAAGAGCACATAATTCCCGGTTGTAGTTGTTTGTTCAAATATGAACTGGAAGATCAATGGAATAGAATAGAAATTTCTGAAGTCTCTGATCAGTCTTTACTTATTGTGTTGGTTGACTATGGGTTTTCCGTTTACATACCTTATTCAGAGATAAGAAATCTTAGAGTTGTTCCCGAGGACCTTCTGAATTTGCCAAGGCTAAGTTATCCTTGTGCCTTATATGGTATCTTACCTGCTAACGGGAAACATTGGAGTGAAGAAGCCAACAGTTTTTTTCTAGATTTCCTAAGTATGCCAGGCTTAGATTTTCAGTTTAGGGAATATAGTTTTGAAACAAAACTGAAAGTAGATGTCATTTATGAGAAAAACAGTCTGGCAGATATCTTAGTTGCATATGGTTTTGCAATGTATTCTAAAGATTCAGACCATCTTGATGCAGTTACTACTACTGGATCTCCTAAAATCCAATATAAATTACAGAGGAAGCCTGTTTACTCATTATTAGATCACAGTTGTTACAAAAGAGAAAACATAAATTGTATATGCACTGAGAAACAGAAGCTAAAAAAGCAGAAAAGTATAAAGAGGAAAGATGTCTGTAAGAACCCCTTAAGCAAAAGCCATGTTAGTAAAAGATTATATTCTAGAAATCTAACACTGAGGAATAAGGTTGAAAGTAGAAAACATAATCCTCAAAGTACCATTCCATTTGATAAGAGTGCAGCAGCTTCATTTTGGGGACTGTTATCTAATGGTTTGGAGAACAATACTAATTGCATTGAAAACATAGTAAAAAAGCTACCAATTGGAGAAATACAGGAAAAGAATAAAATGGACTTGAGAACAGCAGTACAAGCAATGCATGTTAATGGAAAAATATCAGAAGAACACTTAAAGGGTAAGTAGCCAGTTATAAAAAGTAGATTCTTTTTGTAGATTCTATTTTTGATTCTTTTTTAAAAAAATATATTTTATTGATATTTCATGGAGAGGAGGAAAGGAGAGAGATAGCTAGAAACGTCGATGAGAGAGAAACATCGACCAGCTGTCTCTTGCACACCCCCTACCGGGGATGTGCCTGCAACCAATGTACATGCCCTTAACCAGAATCGAACCTGGGACCTTTCAGTCCGCAGACCGATGCTCTACCACTGAGCCAAACCGGCTTCGGCTATTTTTGATTCTTTATAAAAGTTTTTTATCTATGAAAATTATCCAAATTGAAAATTTCCAACTGCAAAAAAATTTACTAAAAAATCTGAATAAATGAATAAACTTGGAGTGATCATTTGAACAATAAAAATATCACTTGAACAGCAACCTTTGAGAATGTAAACAAAGTATAGAGGATTTTAACCTATATACTTTGTTTAGATAATTTTGTTACAGATAATTTCAGGGTTTCACAAAACTTCTCTGATGGTCCATAGACCTCAAATTAATAAATGCTGCAATTAGGGAGCTTCCTGGGCTCATTTTGAAGAATAAAGATGAAATATATCTTTAGTTTTTTTTTTTTTGTTTCTTTTTTTTTTAGTGTCCTTTTATCAGAGAGAGAGAAATAGGGAGAGGGTAGATGAGAGAGGAACATCATCGTTCTGCTGCCTCCTTCCTGGCTCCTACTGGAGACCAAACCTTCAACCTGGGCATGTGCACTGACTGGGAAACGAACCCTGACCTCCTGGTTCATAGATTGATGCTCAGCCACTGAGCCATACCGGCCGGGCAGTAAGTTAAGTTTTTGATACTGCAAGAAACAAATATTTAGGATAGTGTATGCATCTGTACACATGCACAGATGAGTAATAGATTAATGGTTACACTTCTTTTTTGAAGGTAGGATTTATGGATAAGAGACAATTATAGCTTTAAATAAAGACTAGAATAGGCTATATGTGTTTCACCAAAGTGGATATACACTGAGTGGTCAGATTATTATGACCACTCCATCAGTACTTTGTTGGGCCACCTTTTGCCTTCAATACTGTGGTGATTCTTCTTGGCATTGACTCCACGAGATGTTGAAAGATGATGCAAGGAATCTGACACCATGCCTGATGAATAGCACTGTGCAGTTCTGTGAGATTTGATGGTTGTGGAACCAGCTGCCTGTTGGCTCTTTTAACTTTGTCCCACAAATGCTCAATTGGATTGAGAGCTGGTGATTGTGGGGGCCACCTAAGCAAGGTAAAGTCTCCCCCATGTTCTTGAAACCACTCCTGCACAATACGAGCACCGTGGCATGGCGCATTGTCTTGTTGAAAGAAGCCATCTCCATTGGGATACGCCGTCAACATGATACGATGAACTTGATTAGCAATGATATTTAAGTATGTTGTGCTATCCAGACATTGTTCCACATGAATTAAAGGCCCAAATCATGCCAGGAAAACATGCCCCAAACCATAACACCAGCCCTACCAGCTTGAAGGGTTGAACTCATGCTTTCACGCTGTTTCTGCCAAATTTTCATTCTGCCATCTGCATGATGCAACTGGAAACGTGATTCATTGGACCCACATGACTTTTCTCCAATGCTCGACTGTCCAATCCTTGTGTTCCTGTGCGAATTGGAGATGTTTTATCTTGGTAACTGCAGACAGCAAAGTTGTTCGAACAGGCCTTCGCTTCTATATCCCATATGATGCAGTGTACGGCTAACTTGCCTACAAATGTCAGGTGGTTGTAATAATCTGGCCACTCAGTGTATATTACTAATTGTTAAGAAAATATGTTTTTATTTGTTAGGCTACATGTGTAATTACATGTATACGTTATAGTATGTATAAAATGTATAATTTGTGCCCTTTTTGTTCTATTGTGACTTCTTAGGAATTAAGTAAAAATAAATTCTAATTATAGTAGGTATTTTCAAAATAAACTGGAATAATTCTCAATAAAATATACAGTGCCTTGAAAATCATTAATTTTTGCTTGTTTTTCAATAGAGGGAGATGAAAGCTCAGATCGTTTATGCATCAGTTCGGCAACAAATGACACATAGGACACCCAATAATCACTCTTTTGATTTAGATGCTCCAGATACATAATCAAAGTGGTAAGCATAGGACAACTTTTAACATTGAAGTACATTAAAGGAATCTAGGTTGTTCAGATTACTTCCCCAGGAAACAATGATTAGAATGTTACAGAAATTCTATGTGAGCAAGAATTGTGATGATATGATTTGAAAAAACTTACATAGGAAATGTGGCTCACCCCTAAAGTACAGTTGACCCTTAAACAACACTGGTTTGAACTGCATGGGTCTGCTTATATGTGGATTTTTTTCAGTAAATATACAGCTGGCCTTCCAGTTCCCTGGGTTTCACAACCATAGATTCAACCAACTGCAGATAGAAAACAGTATCTTCAGTCCAAGGCTCAGAATTTGGATGAAAGGGTCAATGTGCACATTTTCCTCCACCATCTATAATAATAAAAGCATAACGTGCTATTTAGACTGGACATCCTTCTGGACATTTGTCTGTCCTTCCAGATGAAGCTGAGGGTGTGAGGGAAGCCTGGCTCCTGGGTGCCAGAGGGAAGCCAGTGCTGGCAGCTGGAGAAAGAAAGGCCTACTCTTACATGAATTTTGTGCATCGGGCCTCTAGTTTTATATAAAGGACTTGAGCATCAATGGATTTTGGTATTCACGGGGTCTTATAACTAATCCCCTGTTGACACTGAAGGACTTTTTTTGGGGAGTCAAAACTTATAGCAGATGATCAATGCACTTAATCTCTAAGTTGTTCAAGGCTAAACATTTTATTTGATACACTATTTGCAGGTGTTTTCACAGTCATTACATAATTTGTCATTTAGTTATTTTTCAGGTGTCTCCTAACAAAGCCTTTGTTTAATTTGTTACTTTGTTCAGTAATAATTATAATACATAGAGAATTAATACTATATTCCTTAGAAGATGTAGGTGCTCATAGGACTAATATTTATTAAAAGGACGTAGAAGTCAGCTTAATTTCATCCTTCTAGCTCACAAGAAAAAAATGAGAAATTTTCATTTTTTCACTTTATTTTCTAGTTGTATATTTAATTTTGTTTTATATAAAATTATTTTTGGTTGTTGTGGATATTTGTGACATTCAAGAACACTAGTATCTATTTGGAGGGTAGGTGTTTGTCAGTGCATTTACCTGTGTATTGAAATGTATTTTGTAAGTAATCATTGAGCAAACTGTGAGTCTTGTTTTGGTGTAAAGATAGAACCATAAAGTTATGCAGGTATACTTAAGTGTCAGTGTAAGCCAAATAGATTTGAAGATCTAGAGAGGTGGTGATTTAAAGAGTATTTTGAAAAACTTAGATATTTCCTAAGCTTGCTAGGGACAAACAGTTTTATTGTTATTTGTTCATGTACATTGGATATGTTGGTATTGTTGTCATTTTTTTGAGATTAGGAAACAATTTCTAGAAGTAGTATTGTTTATGAATACTTTCAAGTTTAATTTTGGTATCCTGAAAAGGAAGTTTATTCAAGGCAAGGTAACTTTATTTATATTTTTTGCATTACAAGTTAATCTCTGAATTCACCTGTAAAGCAATGTGGGTATGGACTTTTCTTCATGAGAAAATTGTTAATTACTACTAATTTTTTTTTACACGTTATAGATGCATTCAGTTTTTCTATTTCTTCTGAGTCAGTTAACTTTGGGTTGTGTCATTCTAGGAATTTGTCCTTTTCACCCGAATTGTTTATGTTGGCATAATGTCATCATATGTCATAAAACTTTTAATTTTAAAAAAAATATATTTTATTGATTTTGTACAGAGAAGAAGGGAGAGAGGTAGTTAGAAACATCGATGAGAGTCATCGATCAGCTGCCTCTTGCACACCCCCTACTGAGGATTTGCCCGCAGCCAAGGTACATGCCCTTGATCGGAATCGAACCCGGGACCTTTCAGACCCCAAGCCGACGCTCTATCCATTGAGCCAAACCGGTTTTGGCAAAACTTTTAATTTCTGCAGAGTCAGTAATGATGTTCCCAGTTTCATTTTTAATTTTGATTATTTGCCTTTCTTCAGTTTTGAAAAATTGTGGTGGAAAAATGCACATAGAGTTTACCATCTTAACCATTTTTCAGTATGGAGTTCAGTGTTATTAAGTATATTGTTATGCCACCATCACCACCATCCATCTTTGGAACTCTCTTCACCTTGTAAAACTGAAAACCTATCAATTAAATCTAACTCCCCATTAAATCCTTCCCACAGTTCCTGGCAACTACCATTCAACTTTTATTTTGATGAATTGTACCTCATATGTGTGGAATCACATAGTATTTGCCCCTTTGTGATTTGTCCTTACGTGAAATTTCATGTAGCAACCTGTATTTAAGGTTCAGGCATGTTGTAAGGTGTTAGAAATTTCTTCCTTTTTAAGGTTGATGGATTTTCAGTTTTTACAGCTTCATTTATTACCAAAGACTATTATTTGTCTGTTGAGTTGTAGAACCTTTGGCCAGTACCCATTTTCTTGATTGCTATAGCTCTGGAGTATTTTTGAAATCAGAAAGTATAAGCCCTCATATCTGTTCTTTCTCAAAATTATTTTGGCTCTCCATCCCTTATATTTCCAAGTGAATTTTAGGATCATCTTGAAAAAGTCTGCAAAAATGCCAGCTTGAATTTTTATAGCAATTAGTTGGATCAAGATTAATTTGGGTAGAGTTGCTATCATAGCAATATTGAGTCTTTTAAGCCATGAACAGGGGAATATATCTCCATTTGTTGATCTTTCCTTTCCTTTAGTAACATCTATAATTTTTAATACGCAAATCTTGAACAGTTTTTATTATATAATTTTAAATATTTTTTTTCTTTTGAGGCCATTGTGAAAGATACTGTGTTATTTTATTTTCCAATTGCTCATTGTTTCTTTATAAGAATACAATTGATTTTTAATCTTGTGTCCTCTGACCTTGCTGTATTTGTTTTTTAGTTCTAATTTGTGTGTGTATGAATGTGCATATGTGTGTTCTTTTGGGTTTTCTGAATGCAGGATTATGTCATATGCCAATAAGTAAAATTTTAGTCTTCCCTTTCCAATTTGGATACCATTTCCCCCTGCAGATGGCAATATTTAGCACCTCTATTACAATGTTGAAAATAATTGGTGAGAGTAGCCATCTTTGCCTTGTCTGTTTTAGGAGAAAGGCCTTGTCTTTCACCATTAAGTATGATGTTTGTATAGGTGTTATAACCCTTAATCACATTAAGGACATTTTTTTCTATTCTAAGTTTATTGAGAATTTTCATCATGAATAAATCCTTTCTTAAACTATTTCCTTGGTTATCTACCACTTTTCCTGCTTTCTTTCTTTAATATTTTTTATTACATGGTAAACAAAGACAATGTGGGTGTATATTGTAGTAGCTTTGGGTTATGTTATCTTTCTCTTAATATTTTGAATATTCTGGTAGATAGTAAACTTGTTTTGTTTTTTAAATATATTTTTTATTGATTTCAGAGAGGAAGGGAGAAGGTGAGAGAGAGAAACAGAGAGAATCACTGATTGGCTGCCTCCTGAAAGCCCCCTACTCGGGAATGAACCCACAACCCAGGCATGTGGTCTGACAGGGAATCAAACTGTGGCCTCCTAGTTCAGAGGTTGATGCTCAACCACTGAGCCACGCCAGCCTGCCCAAAACTATGAGTGTATCCCTAGGTAAGGCCTAGACATTGTGGAGCAGAGACAAGCCAACTCTGAGGTGTTCTGTCTGAATTTCTGCCTCTCCAGTTTATGAACAACATAATGTCATTATTTTACCACTATGTTATGGAAGAAGTTATTTATGGAAATAATAACTAAAACATATTTTGGCACCAAATGGGAGATGCTGCCATACTTTTGGACCTAGCAGTGGGAAGAAACTGAAAGGGCCTTGAGGAGAGGAACCTGATAAGCCTGAGAGAGACTGTCAGTGAGGGCTTTGAGGAATTGGAGAAAATGTTGGGAGCTGGAGAAAAGGAGGCTGGAGACCTTTGTAAGGAAAGTTAGCAAAATTGCTCTGCCATAACATGGAAAATTGCAAATGTATCTATTGAACCAAGGAATGAGGCTGAAGAGATTTCCCAGTGATTACTATATTCCTCCTGGTTCTCCTTTTTGAATGAGAGTGCCTATGAAGTTATTCTATGCTAGTCCCACAAATGTATGTTGGACGTGTGTGGGCTAATATGCCACTCTATTTCATAGGTCTTCAGATCAAGAAGAACTCTACTTAAGAATCCACTGCTGGGGAACGTAATCTACTTTGGGACTTGATTGAAAGGAT